CCTATCGTGATGAAGCAACCGAGCTATACTGGCTGGAACAACCGTTCCTCAAGGTCCTACCATGTCAGACAGGTCGGTTGAAGAGCGGTAAGACTAAAAGCGACAAACCCAAGGTCCGAAGGCGAAGTCGTACTGCTGACTGTACAGAGGTGTGACAGCAGTAGGGTGTTTCCTTCAGACAACCAGCATGATAGCGATGCTGCCTTCCCACAAGGAGGGGTGGGGTTAGAAAAGGTTGACACTAAAAATGCACACCTCGCCTTCTCCCACGGATATCCGTCTCCCGCGGTAAGGTCTCAATAAGTACGGAGCTAACACAAAAATTACCCATAACAAGGTCGTGTGTGACCGGCCTCAAGCAGTTGTCCCTTGGGCGCTGCAGTCACGCTCCCGAGTCACTAAAAGCACCCCGAATCCAATTTCCATTTCAGGTACCTCCAGAACAACCCTTCCACGGTGTGGGCAACCGGGAGGTGATAACCACCCTCATACCTCTAACACTCAACCTCCGTCTTCACTTTCTATTATTCCTCCTACATCGACTTTCATTTCTCAATTTCCTCTTTCAGCTTCCTCCTCAAGTGTCACCGGGAAGTGATAACCGCCCTCATACCTCTAACAGCACCCAAGACCACTGTATTCATAATCAACCTTCCTCTTCAATTCCTATTATTCCTCCTACATAGACTCTCCACTCTAAACTTCCTTTTTCGGCTTCCTCCTCAAGTGTCACCATAGCCAACAATTCTAGTGCTCAAAACACTGTCCCAGGTCTACTGAAACCTCACTGCAAAACTACACATTGAAGCCTTCAACGTACTCACCATATGCCGAATCGGTCAACAGGCTTCCTTCGCTAGAACCCTAGAATCTCGTACCATTGGTGTATGCTGTGTCTCCGAAACACACATACAGGATCCCAGTGTGGTCATTCCCTTGACCTCACCTCGACAAAACGGAGAGGAAACGAGACACACCCTCCGTGTGTCTGGTGACCCGACGGCCAGCTCTCGTGGACTGGCAGGTGTAGGCATAGCACTAAGCATGAGGGAGGAACAAGCACTGTTAGAGTGGATCCCCGTCAACAGTCGTCTATGTGCTGTTCGGCTAAACGGCTACGTAAGAACTCGGAAGGATAGGGACACACGTCGTTGCCTTTTTGTCGTTTCTGCCTACGCTCCCACCGACTGCAGCTCAGATGAAATGAAAGATGAATTTTACAGAAAGCTCTTCGAACTTCTTCAGAAAGCTAAACGTTCGGACATAGTACTCGTAGCAGGTGACTTTAATGCTCAGATAGGCAGTTTAAACCAAACAGAAAGGCATTTAGGTGGATATTTTAGTATTCCGACACAGCGAACAGATAATGGTGATCGTCTGCTGCATCTATGCTCAGACAATCGTTTATTTTTAGCAAATACAAATTTTAAGCATAAGGAGAGACAACGTCAAACATGGCGACCCCCTACACCAAACCAACGATGGACTCAAATAGACCATATTGCCATCAGTCATCGTTGGAGAGGGTCGGTAGAAGATTGTCGCTCATTCTGGAGTACCTGCTTGGACTCCGATCACGCCCTAATATGGGCACGCATCTGTTTGCGCCTCACTGGACGCAAAAAAACCACATTAAAAAGACCCGTTAGAACTGAGTTGAGTAACGAGAAAACCAAAAGTAGGTTCCAGGAACAACTGAGGTCACACTTAGGTAGTTCTGAAGACGAGGATGACCCAAATGTTGCTTGGAAAGATATACAAGCAGCTGTGGAAGCAGCAGTGACATCTATAAGCGACTTAAACAACAGAGTTTCAAAGAACCAGTGGATTTCTTCAAAGTCTATCACACTGATGGATTCTCGCAAACTCGTCCCATCAGGTTCCGAACATGATGAAGAGCGACAACAAATCAGATCTAGGTTAACCAAAAGTCTAAGGAACGACCGTGAGCAGTGGTGGGTAACGAAAGCAAAAGAGATGGAAAAGGCGGCGACTATAAGGAACACAAGACAGCTTTACAGACTTATAAAAGAAACTGGAATTCATAAGTCAAGTGTAAGTGAGGTTATTTCGGAAAAAGATGATACTCTCATCTGCTCCCAGTCCAGACGTTTAGAACGATGGGCGGAACACTTTAGAGAACAGTTCAGCTGGCCTTCAGCTACTCTGCAACTATCCTCCATTCCCAGACAGTGTGAATGGAACATTGAAGTAGGTCCCCCAACTCTAGTAGAAGTTCAAAATCTATAGTTAATCTGAAACGAGGAAGTGCAGCTGGTCCAGATGGACTGGCTCCAGAGGTCTTTAAGGATGGTGGTCCAATTTTAGCGATTAGGTTGACTAATATTTTAGCTAAGATCTGGGAGTTAGACGTTATTCCATCTGACTGGTCGCAATCACTTATCGTCCCAATATATAAGAAAGGGTCAAAATCATCCTGTGACAACCACAGAGGGATTAGTTTAACTAATATAATATCTAAAATACTAGCCTCGATAATTATCAGACGCCTAACTAAGACTCGTGAACTGCAAACACGAGAGACTCAAGCTGGATTCAGACCTGGTCGTGGCTGCATCGACCACATATTCACCATTCGTCAGATTCTAGAACACAGGCATACTTATCGGCGTCCGACAATGGTGGTCTTTCTCGACTTAAAAGCAGCATTTGACTCGGTAGACCGCAAGAATCTGTGGCAGTGTCTGCCATTGAAAGGCGTAACCCAGAAGTACATAAACCTTGTAAAGGCTCTTTACTCGAACACTAATAGTCGAGTCAGAGCTTATGGCGAACTATCATCTACTTTTGCAACCTCAAGTGGTGTCCGTCAAGGCTGTCCACTTTCTCCATTTTTGTTTAACTTCATCATAGATCTACTGATAGAAATAACTTTCTCGTCTACTGAATTCTCGGGTATTGATCTCCATCCAGGAGGTCCACTTATCGACTTAGAATACGCAGATGATATAGTCCTGTTTGGTGACGATGCTGAGAAAATGCAGAGTCTTCTGGTAGCACTAAGCAACAATGCCAGAATGTTTGGGATGCGCTTCTCTCCCTCTAAATGCAAGTTGTTGCTTCAGGACTGGCCTCCTTCAACACCTGAACTAAGGATAGGGAGTGAAGTGGTCGAACGCGTTGACAACTTCACTTATCTTGGAAGTCTGATCAGCCCTAATGGGTTGATGTTCGACGAAATCTCAGCACGGATTCGAAAAGCTCGTTTGGCTTTTGCCAACTTACGTCACCTTTGGCGGAGGCGAGATATCCGTCTATCAATAAAAGGACGAGTATACTGCGCGGCAGTTCGTTCTGTTTTAATTTACGGCAGCGAAACATGGCCCTTAAGAGTAGAAGACACCCGTAAGCTACTAGTATTTGACCACAGATGCCTTAGAAATATTGCTGGCATCTGCTGGGATCACCAGGTAAGTAATAGTGAGGTTAGACGCAGGGTATTAGGAAATGGTGGTAAATCAGTTGATGAGGTTATGAATCTTCATCGACTGAGATGGTTGGGCCACGTATTACGTATGCCTGAACACCGATTACCACAACGTGCAATGCTGACGAGTGTTGGGGATGGTTGGAAGACAGTTAGGGCCGGCCAAACCAAAACGTTGCATCAGTGCTTGAAGACACTAACTTCTAGTCTGAGCCATGTTGGTAGATGCAGACTACTTGGTTGGGGTCCGCGTGACTATCGTAACCAATGGTTGGAGACTCTTGGTGACATGGCTCAGAATCGATCACAATGGCGTCGGTGTATACACTCCCTGTCTTCCCTTAAACTAAGAGATTAAAATCACTTCATATCTTTCTTTCTACGAACTAATTCTTTCTTCCTATACTATATCCTTATTGCAATCTTTCTCCTATATATTACCACCTTTGACCTAACCACTCCTATGAATCCGCTGTTCATCTTGTTGTGCTAATAAGGTATGGCAACCTGGACCGATGAGTATATGTGCCTGGTCCTACGTTGTAGCTGACTGACTGACTGATCATTGATGTAAAATTTCAGGGATAGCTTGATAGTTAAAGCATTTGGCTTCTAACCAATGCTTCACTGGTTTGAATATTGATAAATTTCAGTTTTGACAGCAACAGTAGATTAGTTGTGAATCAATTAAGGTTAGACATATGTACCGTTGGATACTGACTCAATAGTCAAAAGGTTAGACGTTGGTCAAGAGACCTAGATGTCCTAGGTTCGATCTCCAGTCGTGTCATGATTGCTCAATGCTGAGAAGTCATATACCAGAACAAAACATCTGTCTAGTGCTTCCTGGTTCTTAATTATTGTCTAACTTAGGTTGGGTTGTGATCTCATAAATGGATCAACAATATTTGAGTAGTTAATCTTCACGAAGACTTATCAGGATATAAATAGCATTGGATACAAGTAAGCTAAATGAAGAAGCTTTCAAACTATTTACTATGTAAGTTATTTGTTAGAGTATCAACTTACTTCTTTATCATGACCTGTACGATGAGGTGCAACAGGAGATGGACTGACAACACCTATTGGACCAGAGTCGTTATTTAGTGTAGACTGTGGGTTGTTGCGCTTGGATAGGTTGACCTAAAGAAAATAATCGACAAAAGAACAGTAGTAAAAAGGCAGGTTTATCATGTTAATTATGAATTGAATATAAAAGGAAAACAACGAAAAACGATGGTATGTATTCAGATTATAGTATACGAATGAAAAATTATATATAGTGAGTTACTGTAACACAAAATAAAATAATGAATGAATTACTGGACAGTTGTTTTATTGTCAATGTTATTCATAAACAGGAGTCTCAAGCGAAAGTCAATGACTATTAATTCTATAGTGAACAAGAACACGAGTGGGGACAATCGAATGTATTTGAGCACACAATTACAGAGCATCTTAATATAATTAATACTGAATTTGCAAAATATCAATCCATTGTCTCAAATTTGACTGTTACTTTTGCAAACATCAGTCTATTGTCTCAGATTTCATTGTTCATGCATTTTCATACCAAATGCATTTCGTTCCCGTTCTTTCCTTCTCGATCTTCTGGAATACATTCTATGTCTGACCGTTCTATACTACTTATGTGTATATAATTAACCCACACCACAATTCTTCCTTCACTCACAGGAACTTTACTAACGAATGAAACTTTGAAGAAAACTGGGTTTAAAATAATCAATCTACTAAAAACGGTTTTCGCGAATTATATGAATAAGTTAGGTGGTTGAGTGGAATCGAGAAGTTTTAAGTTTACGTTTTGTGCTAGTTTTCAGACTACAGCAAAGCTTTTCTGTGATCATAAAGGTACTGATATTCATCATATGCTTTAGATCTACATCACATAGTGTAACAATCGGGAAAGTGAATATCATGGTATTTTGGACCACTGTCTAGAACCACTGGATATACTACGCTGTCTAGTATGGCAGTAAAAAACGACATTGATTATAAGACCAAATATAAATACTTATATAAAGGGCACTGATGTTCACTGAAACTCAGTCAGTCAGTCAGTCAGCTACAACGTAGGACCAGGCACATATACTCATCGGTCCAGGTTGCCATACCTTATTAGCACAACAAGATGAACAGCGGATTCATAGGAGTGGTTAGGTCAAAGGTGGTAATATATAGGAGAAAGATTGCAATAAGGATATAGTATAGGAAGAAAGAATTAGTTCGTAGAAAGAAAGATATGAAGTGATTTTAATCTCTTAGTTTAAGGGAAGACAGGGAGTGTATACACCGACGCCATTGTGATCGATTCTGAGCCATGTCACCAAGAGTCTCCAACCATTGGTTACGATAGTCACGCGGACCCCAACCAAGTAGTCTGCATCTACCAACATGGCTCAGACTAGAAGTTAGTGTCTTCAAGCACTGATGCAACGTTTTGGTTTGGCCGGCCCTAACTGTCTTCCAACCATCCCCAACACTCGTCAGCATTGCACGTTGTGGTAATCGGTGTTCAGGCATACGTAATACGTGGCCCAACCATCTCAGTCGATGAAGATTCATAACCTCATCAACTGATTTACCACCATTTCCTAATACCCTGCGTCTAACCTCACTATTACTTACCTGGTGATCCCAGCAGATGCCAGCAATATTTCTAAGGCATCTGTGGTCAAATACTAGTAGCTTACGGGTGTCTTCTACTCTTAAGGGCCATGTTTCGCTGCCGTAAATTAAAACAGAACGAACTGCCGCGCAGTATACTCGTCCTTTTATTGATAGACGGATATCTCGCCTCCGCCAAAGGTGACGTAAGTTGGCAAAAGCCAAACGAGCTTTTCGAATCCGTGCTGAGATTTCGTCGAACATCAACCCATTAGGGCTGATCAGACTTCCAAGATAAGTGAAGTTGTCAACGCGTTCGACCACTTCACTCCCTATCCTTAGTTCAGGTGTTGAAGGAGGCCAGTCCTGAAGCAACAACTTGCATTTAGAGGGAGAGAAGCGCATCCCAAACATTCTGGCATTGTTGCTTAGTGCTACCAGAAGACTCTGCATTTTCTCAGCATCGTCACCAAACAGGACTATATCATCTGCGTATTCTAAGTCGATAAGTGGACCTCCTGGATGGAGATCAATACCCGAGAATTCAGTAGACGAGAAAGTTATTTCTATCAGTAGATCTATGATGAAGTTAAACAAAAATGGAGAAAGTGGACAGCCTTGACGGACACCACTTGAGGTTGCAAAAGTAGATGATAGTTCGCCATAAGCTCTGACTCGACTATTAGTGTTCGAGTAAAGAGCCTTTACAAGGTTTATGTACTTCTGGGTTACGCCTTTCAATGGCAGACACTGCCACAGATTCTTGCGGTCTACCGAGTCAAATGCTGCTTTTAAGTCGAGAAAGACCACCATTGTCGGACGCCGATAAGTATGCCTGTGTTCTAGAATCTGACGAATGGTGAATATGTGGTCGATGCAGCCACGACCAGGTCTGAATCCAGCTTGAGTCTCTCGTGTTTGCAGTTCACGAGTCTTAGTTAGGCGTCTGATAATTATCGAGGCTAGTATTTTAGATATTATATTAGTTAAACTAATCCCTCTGTGGTTGTCACAGGATGATTTTGACCCTTTCTTATATATTGGGACGATAAGTGATTGCGACCAGTCAGATGGAATAACGTCTAACTCCCAGATCTTAGCTAAAATATTAGTCAACCTAATCGCTAAAATTGGACCACCATCCTTAAAGACCTCTGGAGCCAGTCCATCTGGACCAGCTGCACTTCCTCGTTTCAGATTAACTATAGATTTTGAACTTCTACTAGAGTTGGGGGACCTACTTCAATGTTCCATTCACACTGTCTGGGAATGGAGGGTAGTTGCAGAGTAGCTGAAGGCCAGCTGAACTGTTCTCTAAAGTGTTCCGCCCATCGTTCTAAACGTCTGGACTGGGAGCAGATGAGAGTATCATCTTTTTCCGAAATAATCTCACTTACACTTGACTTATGAATTCCAGTTTCTTTTATAAGTCTGTAAAGCTGTCTTGTGTTCCTTATAGTCGCCGCCTTTTCCATCTCTTTTGCTTTCGTTACCCACCACTGCTCACGGTCGTTCCTTAGACTTTTGGTTAACCTAGATCTGATTTGTTGTCGCTCTTCATCATGTTCGGAACCTGATGGGACGAGTTTGCGAGAATCCATCAGTGTGATAGACTTTGAAGAAATCCACTGGTTCTTTGAAACTCTGTTGTTTAAGTCGCTTATAGATGTCACTGCTGCTTCCACAGCTGCTTGTATATCTTTCCAAGCAACATTTGGGTCATCCTCGTCTTCAGAACTACCTAAGTGTGACCTCAGTTGTTCCTGGAACCTACTTTTGGTTTTCTCGTTACTCAACTCAGTTCTAACGGGTCTTTTTAATGTGGTTTTTTTGCGTCCAGTGAGGCGCAAACAGATGCGTGCCCATATTAGGGCGTGATCGGAGTCCAAGCAGGTACTCCAGAATGAGCGACAATCTTCTACCGACCCTCTCCAACGATGACTGATGGCAATATGGTCTATTTGAGTCCATCGTTGGTTTGGTGTAGGGGGTCGCCATGTTTGACGTTGTCTCTCCTTATGCTTAAAATTTGTATTTGCTAAAAATAAACGATTGTCTGAGCATAGATGCAGCAGACGATCACCATTATCTGTTCGCTGTGTCGGAATACTAAAATATCCACCTAAATGCCTTTCTGTTTGGTTTAAACTGCCTATCTGAGCATTAAAGTCACCTGCTACGAGTACTATGTCCGAACGTTTAGCTTTCTGAAGAAGTTCGAAGAGCTTTCTGTAAAATTCATCTTTCATTTCATCTGAGCTGCAGTCGGTGGGAGCGTAGGCAGAAACGACAAAAAGGCAACGACGTGTGTCCCTATCCTTCCGAGTTCTTACGTAGCCGTTTAGCCGAACAGCACATAGACGACTGTTGACGGGGATCCACTCTAACAGTGCTTGTTCCTCCCTCATGCTTAGTGCTATGCCTACACCTGCCAGTCCACGAGAGCTGGCCGTCGGGTCACCAGACACACGGAGGGTGTGTCTCGTTTCCTCTCCGTTTTGTCGAGGTGAGGTCAAGGGAATGACCACACTGGGATCCTGTATGTGTGTTTCGGAGACACAGCATACACCAATGGTACGAGATTCTAGGGTTCTAGCGAAGGAAGCCTGTTGACCGATTCGGCATATGGTGAGTACGTTGAAGGCTTCAATGTGTAGTTTTGCAGTGAGGTTTCAGTAGACCTGGGACAGTGTTTTGAGCACTAGAATTGTTGGCTATGGTGACACTTGAGGAGGAAGCCGAAAAAGGAAGTTTAGAGTGGAGAGTCTATGTAGGAGGAATAATAGGAATTGAAGAGGAAGGTTGATTATGAATACAGTGGTCTTGGGTGCTGTTAGAGGTATGAGGGCGGTTATCACTTCCCGGTTGCCCACAAGGGGGGGAGGGTTCTTCTGAATGTACCTGAAAAGGAAATCGGATTAGAGGCCGTCTCAGTGATCTGAGAGCGTGACCACAGTGCACAAGGGACAACTGTTTGAGGCCGGTCGCGCACTGCTTTTTCGTGGGAGGTTTTTGACGTGTTAGCTGCATTCTTCAAAGGGCCTTACCGCCGGAGACGGATATCCGTGGGAGAAGGCGAGGTGTGCATTTTTAGTGTCAACCTTTTCAACCCCCACCCCTCCTTGTGGGAAGGCAGCATCGCTATCATGCTGGTTGTCTGAAGGAAACACCCTACTGCTGTCACACCTCTGTACAGTCAGCAGTACGACTTCGCCTTCGGACCTTGGGTTTGTCGCTTTTAGTCTTACCGCTCTTCAACCGACCTGTCTGACATGGTAGGACCTTGAGGAACGGTTGTTCCAGCCAGTATAGCTCGGTTGCTTCATCACGATAGGCAAGCCCGACCACCACGTCAAGGTAGCAACAACTAAAAAGAATGTTATAACGAATGAATTCTTACTTAAGATCTTTGTTTAGATGTATATTCCTTTTAAAACATCAATCAGTGGGTTAAAAACAGTGTTTCTTTTTTAAGTTTTACGTCTTGGAATCGTTAAGAATTAAGAGAGAATATGTACTAATATGAAACTTTTTAAAGTGTTATAAGATTTAAAAAAGAAGATAACTGTTCAGTGTTTCAATCCTTTCTGCATTTACTTTGTTTGAATTGATTTATGAGATGGTGTAGTCAAAAATTCCACTTATTCATTCGTCTAAAATCAATAACTATTAATTAAATTGTTATGATTGTCAAAATTTAATTGTAATTGTTTAAATAAATTACAATTTCATATATTCGTGATTTACAATCTTATCTATTTATAGGTTTTATTATTCAGTAAATTCTTAACATATTAGAAAACATTAATATATTCTTTGCCGGTAGATTATTACCGAAAAATAAATTCATAAGAGTAATTAACTTCATTTTATAAATAACAAATTAAATAATGATTATTAATAACGGTTATAACAGGTGAACTAATGAATTAATCGGTTACAACAAATTGATAAATAATATATTATCAGAATGAGGGTTTGTGAAAATTGTAGTAATTCAATAATTGAACTCATAAGTTGATTTAAGCTAGACCACTCTGATTATTTTCACAAACCGTCATTCTGATAATAATTATTATATACTCACTAGTGACTGACTACAAGATGTGCTTCCTGGAGTTCTAGTGAGTAGCCGTGACTAGTGGAGTTCAACCGTGTCTGTTATGAAGCAATTACTTACTGAAGGCAATGGTGGACGGTCGTGCAATACAGTGGATATTAGACATTAACACCGTTGGATACCGGCTCAGTGGTCTATAAATTAAGCGCGAGGCCGGTGGCCCAGGGTTCGAACCCCGGATGCACACTGCCGAGGAGTTCCATACTGGGACGAAACAACCATCCAATGATTTTAAGGTAGTCTAGCTTAAATAGACCTATGAATTCAACTATTAAATAATATAACAATTTTTAAAAAAGTGGTGTTTGGTTTTTTTATATAAAGAAATAAACAAGCTCAGATCAACACATCCTCAAATGGAAAAAGTAACAATTGCAAGAAATAATGAGAATGGTTAAAAAATGGCGACCAATTTGAAAATTGAAGAAAGACAAGTGTGATGAATGCAGAAATAATGATTTCTATTGATTTTAAGTAACTGCGCCTGGAGTCCCTCCGGGGGCAAAGCTGGTGGTAAACACTAATAAAATGGTAGACACCGGTGTTGTGTCGAAAGTGGAGATGAGGTGGCCGTTTTTAAAGGGTTGATTCAGGTGAATTATTATCCAACGTTATTAACATGCTATGTAAGGTAATACAAACTCCGCCTGGAGTCCCTCCGGAGGCTACTGCCGGTCCCAAGCTCGGATAAAGAAGGAGGGTTGGGCATGGGGTTAGCGTCCCCATCCCGTAGAAAACTAACTCGCTAAAAACACGCTAACCAGAAAAAATTATTCAAACCTTTTAAACTCTGCCCTGGGAGTCAGAAGGTCTTCATTTAGAGGAATTATGACGCCTCATGATGAAAGCCGAATTCCTTCGGAAGTTACGAGGCCGATGCCCCTTCTGACAACCAGAGCGACCATTTATTTAGGTACATGGAATGTTCGTACAATGTGGGACACCGGAAGAGCCTTCCAGATTGCTGCAGAAATGAGAATATACAACCTAGAGGTACTTGGGATCAGTGAAACACATTGGACACAAGTTGGACAACAACGACTAACTACAGGAGAGCTCCCGTTATACTCCGGCCATGAAGAAGAAAATGCACCACATACACAAGGAGTTGCATTGATGCTGTCCAAACAAGCGCAAAATGCGCTTATAGGATGGGAATCTCATGGACCAAGGATCATCAAAGCCTCGTTCAAAACAAAAAAGAGGGTATTTCAATGAACATCATCCAATGCTATGCGCCTACCAACGACTACAATGAAGACGCTAAAGATCAATTCTACAATAGGCTGCAGTCAATCGTCAAGAAGTGCCCAACAAAGGACCTGACCATTCTGATGGAAGATTTCAATGCCAAGGTTGGAACGGACAACACTGGATATGAAGACATCATGGGACAACACGGACTGGAAGAAAGAAACGAAAATGGTGAGAGATTTGCAAATCTATGTGCCTTCAATAAGCTGGTCATAGGCGGCACCATATTCCCACATAAACGCATACACAAAACCACATGGACTTCACCGGATCACTCTACACAAAACCAAATCGACCATATTTGCATCAACAAAACGTTCAGGAGGACTATAGAGGACGTGAGAACCAAGAGAGGAGCTGATATAGCATCAGATCATCACTTGCTGGTCGCCAAGATGAAATTGAAACTCAAGAAGCACTGGACAACGGGGCGGACAATATCACAAAAATTCAATACGGCCTTACTTCGGGATACTGACAAACCCAACAAATTCAAGATAGTCCTCAGCAATAAGTTCCAGGCCTTTCATGATCTACTCAACGGAGAAGGAACTACTATGGAGGGCAACTGGAAGGGGGTCAAAAAAGCAATCACTTCAACATGCCATGAGGTTCTGTGCCACAAGAAGCACCATCACAAGGAATAAATCACTGTTGATACACTGGATAAGATTCAAGAAAGAAGGAACAAGAAGGCAGCAATCAATACCAGGCGAACAAGAACAGAAAAAGCCAAGGCACAAGCTGAATACACAGAAGTAAACAAACAAGTGAAGAGGAGCATCAGAACTGACAAACGTAAATATGTGGAAGATTTAGCAACGACGGCGGAATAGGCTTCAAGAGAAGGAAACATGAGACAATTGTATGACACGACAAAAAAACTCTCTGGAAATCGCCGCAAACCAGAACGACCAGTGAAAAGCAAAGAAGGCAAGGTAATCATCAACATTGAAGAGCAACAAAACAGGTGGGTAGAACACTTCAAAGAACTCTTGAATCGACCAGCCCCACTGAACCCACCCAATATCGAAGCAGCACCCACGGACCTCCCAATCAATGTTGGCTCACCAACAATTGAAGAAATCAGCATGCCCATCAGACAAATCAAGAGTGGCAAAGCAGCAGGACCAGACAACATTCCAGCAGAGGCACTAAAAGTAGACGTAGCGGCAACTGCAAGGATACTCCACATTCTCTTCAATAAGATTTGGGATGAGGAACAAGAACCAAAAGACTGGAAAGAAGGACTCCTGATCAAAATACCGAAGAAAGGCGATCTCGGCAACTGTGATAACTACAGGGGCATCACTCTTCTCTCAATGCCTGGGAAAGTCTTCAACAGGGTATTGTTAAACAGGATGAAGGACTGCGTAGACGCCCAACTTCGTGACCAACAGGCAGGATTCCGTAAGGATAGATTGTGTACAGACCAAATCGCAATTCTACGGATCATTGTGGAACAATCAAATGAATGGAATTCATCACTCTACATCAACTTCATTGACTACGAAAAAGCATTTGATAGCGTGGACAGAACAACACTATGGAAACTTCTTCGACACTACGGCGTGCCTCAGGAGATAGTCAATATCATACAGAACTCATACGATGGATTAAACTGCAAAATTGTGCATGGAGGACAGTTGACAAAGTCGTTCGAAGTGAAGACCTGTATCAGGCAAGGCTGCTTACTCTCACCCTTTCTCTTTCTCCTGGTGATCGACTGGATCATGAAGACGTCAACGTCTGAAGGGAAGCGCGGGATACAATGGACATCTAGGATGCAGTTGGACGATCTAGACTTCGCAGATGATCTGGCCCTTCTGTCCCAAACGCAACAACGAATGCAGGAGACGGCCAGTGTAGCAGCAGCCTCAGCAGCTGTAGGTCTCAATATACACAAAGGGAAAAGCAAGATTCCCCGATACAACACAGTATGGACCAATCCAATCACAATTGACGGAGAAGATTTGGAAGATGTAAAAACGTTTATATATTTGAGCAGCATCATTTATGAACAGGGTCGATCTGATGCAAATTTGAAAGCGCGGATTGGCAAAGCAAAAGCAGCATATTTACAACTGAGGAACATCTGGAACTCAAAGCAACTGTCAACCAACACCAAGGTCAGGATTTTCAATACAAATGTCAAGACAGTTCTACTATATGGGGCAGAAACCTGGAGAACTACGAAAGCCACCATCCAGAATATACAGGTGTTTATTAACAATTGTCTACGCAAAATACTTCAGATCCATTGGCCGGACACTATTAGCAACAACGTACTGTGAGAGAGAACAAACCAGATCCCAGCAGAGGAAGAAGCGCTGGAAGTGGATAGGACACACATTGAGGAAAGCACCCAACTGTGTCACAAGACAAGCCCCCACATGGAATCCTGAAGGCCAAAGGAAAAGAGGAAGACCAAAGAACACATTACGCGGGGAAATGGAGATAGACATGAGAGAAATGAACAAGAATTGGATGGAACTAGAAAAGAAGGCCCACGACAGAGTAGGTTGGAGAATGCAGGTCGGCGGCCTATGCTCCATTGGGAGTAACAGGCGTAAGTAAGTAAGTAATTGATTTTAAGTGAATAATTAGTAGATAGTGAGATAAGCTTAAAGTTTAGAGTAATTTTCTTTTTATGCTTCTAATTTATTACAATAACCAACTTTTCGAATGGTTTTATAAAGTGATTTATAAACTTGAACTTGATGGAGTAAGTTACTTCTTTAAGACTGTTAAGAGTCGGCGCTTGGTAAGATCCTTTTTGATAAACCGTTCATGATATTCGGGAAGTTCACACAACTGGGTAGCTATTAGAGTACTAGTTACGATTTATCAAGGAGATCAATTTACATACTATAGAGGGTATAGTGACTTATACCAATATATCATATGTTTGACGCTGTTCTGATATCATTCTAGACGAATATATCGCTAATTGATTAGAACATGATATTAGTAGTTTAAAGAGATAGACAAAGTCATATGGTATAGTTATCTAACTGATGATGATTTTAGTGACTAAATCGAAATATATTATTAGAACATTGGGCTTTAAATCTGTATACCATTGAGAATTATACATATGTTCTTTGGTAATATATAATAAGCTTGATAATGTAAAATATGTGATTAACTCAGTCAGACGGAGTACATATGAGAAACCCTACTGCTTGTACCAAACATATTTAAACGTTAAGAACTGATTTGATAAGTCGTCAGTGACTGAATGATTGATAAGTAAACACCTGGTGTTCAATAAGTCTACAGTTCTGAAAGAAACCTTTGAAAAAATTGGTTTCTATACGGAAAAAAACGACAACATTATCATTGATTGAATTACTCG